TAGTTCACTTGAGAATACTTTTGACTGACGATATTGATTTAACTAGATGAAACTATGTGTTCAAATTAGAAACCAGTGGATCAATGGTACAATCTCAGTGTCATATTAACTCACGGACAAATGAATAATGAAACTATTTGTTTACAAATTAAATTTGAATAAATGACGTTAATGTGTGTGTAAAGTGACCTGTTTGATACCTATAAATGATGTACAATAATTAGAAAATAGATGTTAACAACATTTAAATCGCATTATTTTCTGTTCAACTGCTACTGAATTCATTTTCAATCTTCCAATTCACTTATTGTCCCATATCATCACCTGAGGTAATTCAAGTTGTTTTACAGTGTAAAATGATTTAACAGTTGTCATAAGTTGTTGTTCACAAGATATTTGTCTGAATTTCTTGGTAACTCAATCAATTCCTTAAATCACCTTTAATGAACTTAGAGAACAGCTGGACAATAGCAAATTTTTACATACAGATGAGCATTCAAAATACATAGTCTCAAACCTTGTTGTGTTCATACATGAATAGTCGAATAATGTTCCATTGTAAACATTTGTTATTTAACTCTCGATTTTTGCACTTAATGCAAACCTTGAACTTTGTATAACATGAATATTGATTGTCAGAAGATGTTACGTAATTGATTGTTGCTGTGATTTAAAATGTAAATCGAATAATGAGTCATTTCACCCTTCGTCAAATTCGGTCCAGAATTTGCACTATGGGAGTTGGTCTGAGTGTAGACTGACCTTTTAAAAATATAAGTTCCTCCCATACAATCCTATGCCTGATTCTCATTCATTTTTACAACGGATTCACATTATCTCACCAACTGCCATTTACCAGTACCAGTTGATTTGAGATCAAAATGACAACTAGTTAGATAACACTTTACAAGTATCGTCTAGCTCATGACAATCGGTGAGAAGATTTAATTAATTTCTCTCATTAGAAGTGAAAGGGGAGGTCTAGTGTACTATTCATTGGTCACGCATCGTTTATTTTTCTCTTGTCTCATTAGTTATGACTGTTCATATACATTCAGGCTGTTAACTTTACCTTGTGGAAAGTCATCAATGGAATGAAGTGTATGATGAAGTTGAATTACATTTGTTTTAATGATTAATTTGAATAAAATCTACGTACTACCAAGAGTTAGTTAGGAAGTATTATCAAGTTTAGTAGATAATACATCATTTGTATCTACAGCTTCCCGTTCAAATTTGATACAGCTATTTCCTACAACATAGTAAATTGTTCGATTCGCACTAATTCCCACCTTACCAATACATATTCTAAGCTGAATATTTCATAGGCAAGTTTCATACATCGACTAAACGCTTTTTTTTCGAATGATTTATATTTATTAAATTAATCTAACGATAAGTGAATTCTTTTTAAATTTACTGTACTACACATCTTATGTTTAGTTACACGTTGTGAATATTGCGTACACTGAGAGTTTCACCATGGAATATACATGGGTGAATTTCTTTCCTCTGAGAAATCATGTTAGTTTAATGACAAAATATAAAGTTATGAGATGCTACTTTTATTTTATAAGGTGAATAATTGTAATGAATACAGTTATCACCGATAAAAGTAGGGCTTTACACAATTATGTCATGAGTCGTCTTCATCATTCTTTTGTCATTCATAACGAGGTGAAAGTCTCTATCTAACAAGATTTCCTACTACATTTTGTTGCCAATAAAATAAGAATTAACTTCCGATCTAATTTACACGTGAGTTTTTCACCATGTAACCTGTATCAAATCAATCGTTCTCGAATATACAGCTTTTAAAGAAGTGATTTTCAGTGAAGTCTTTATTGTGATAAACTTTCGAACAAGCAAGAGTAAATGAAATGTTTAATTGCGTATCGAAATGCAGCTTGCTATCGCCACACAATACATAGTGACCTATAAATGAACAAACAAGCCAGGAATACGTTGATAAGAAGTATTCTTTATCGGATTATATAATCAATTTATGGAACTATACCATTGATTCTCTTGAAATCAGTATAGAAACCTCTACACTGTGACAACACGATCTACTAATAACAATCACTAGCTACTACTGCTTGGAAATTGTGAGCCGTAACTAATGTATTACCACACTCCTTAAAAGTGCATATTATACTAGCTGTTATTTGTGTTTTGATCATACTTTAGTCAATGTAACGAACTATTTTATTGTTTGATACAACTAAGAAAATAAACTTGTAATTATCCTGCATAACAATGCCAAAATAACCGCACAATTAATATTGTTTGTCTACCTATTTACATATTTATGAATGAAATCAACTTTGATTTTAGTAAACAAACTAATGGTTAATTTACAAAATACTATTGAATGACGTTATTGATTTATTTAGATAAAACAATGAGTTTCAAAAAAGAAATTAGTTGGTTATTTGTAATACCTCAAGTTAAAATTGAACTCATGAATAAATTAAAAACAATACTACTTTTTTAATGAAACATTTATTTCAGTTTCCAGTCATAACATGTTGGACTAAACCATATTCAGTTAATCACACTTCATTATTGATTAGTAGAAGCAGAAGCATATTTCATACCCATCTATTTTAAATCTATCAAATACCCAGAGTTTCATTGTACCACTGAAGTTGTAGTACAGCTAGGAATCTTTTAGTCAACCATGTAAGTGGATTATTTTAGAAAATCTCTTAATTATTCTTGCAATTTATGGTATCGAACATGAGTTTCTTGTTAAATATGATTTTTATAATTTAACAATCTATTCGGTTATTACACAATGTTTGAAATAACAGATACTAAATGCTATGACCTATGGCCCGTTAAATATCACGTGACAAAATCGCCAATCAGAATACTGATTTATATGATGTTGTACATGTGCGAAGTTAATGATGTGTTAACCAGCACGAAGAATGTAGAGTCAACTCTGAGTCCTTAGTGATCTTTTGTATAGTAGCTTCATGCCTAACCCAGCCCGTTCAGTTCAGAACACAAATATCAGCCTCCGCTATGTGAATCGTATGTTTCAGACATACATGATTTATATACAAGCAGGTAGGGTGGCATCACACCGTAAAATGAAAAATAATAACTGTACAACATCAAGCCAAAAGTCTTTATGTGTATAGGAGAATGTAAATAATAGATTGGGAATAAATTAAGAATGGTAGATCGTATAACAGTAGTCAATAGGTCAAATGAAAGCTTATGATAAGAGGAATATGAATATATATATAATCTAGTTACTTCATAGTTATTCAATATGAATATATGTAATAATAATCCACAAATGATCCCTAGAAGTTATCATTCATTTGTTTTTTGTTCGTATGTAACCCTAAATTACTGTCATACTGATAACACCATTACTTACTGAAATGTGAACGGATCAGTCTTGTCGATCTTACTTGGGATGGAACATACCACTGATACCGAATAGAATCTAGACAATGTTAGTTAAATTAACTAAGGAAAGGATGGGAATATCTATTTGATCACTGCATTAAAATGACTTTATTTTCAATATATTTTACCGTTTATAAGAGAAAGTTTTTGAGTATCTGATAGATTATGAGAAAGCAAATTCGAAATAATTTTATTTTTATTAAACAATTTTGTATAGTTTTGGTTCTCTGAAAAATGAACACCAAATAAAGATGCTGTAAATGCATACGAATTTTGAATACCAGTATCAATAATTATCTTCAACTGATATCATTTAAATATTCGGTTTTTTTATATTATTACATCACTCACTGTTCTAGTGAACTATTCTATTAAAATTATGAGAAATAATTTTATTAGTAAAAATTATTGTTCTGATGTAACTAATAGATGACAGATAATTGAATTCAATTCTTTATCCACAAGTCCATACATATTTGAAAAGAGTATAACTTGTAGAAAATAAAACATACTTCTTGTCAAACTTAAATACTTCTTTTTTAACCTTAGATTATTTTAATTGTTATAAAATCAATAAACTGATTATTAAAAATCATTAGTACCGAGTATTTATATAATTAAGTAATAATTAAAAGAAACCACTCTTATGTAATCACATACTAATACACTTAAAATGTTCACTAACATCAACAAAGTAAATAGATAATTCAAGAGTTTAAATTAGTTTACATTGTAAGTTATAAAGTCATCAATAATACTACAATAATGAAATGATATGTCATAATTTACAACTACAGCTACTATTACTACCATTGATTCAATGAGTAAAAAGTTATATTGTTAAAATATGATGGAGAAAAGTGAATAATAAACAATGTGTAATCAGAAAAGATTGAGTAGAATATTTGTTCTTAATATTATGTTCACTTTATCATTCAACTATAAATTCAAAACTAATAAATGTTTATTATCTAAATATATAACAATAATAATATTATTATAATAAAACAAAAAAGGACGCATATTTCCTGAAACATAGAAACATTTAAAAAAGAAAAAATTGCAATTTTCCATTTGTACATATAAAAATGTCAAGTTCATCATAAATAATAATAAATGTTTAATGATCAATCGATAATAAGTTAAAACGAGTACTATATTTGTGACTATATATTGATCAATACAACACATATTTTTAGATACAAATAAACAATTATTGTAAACATTCATTTGATTGTCTGAGTTAATCACAAACAGACATAGGTTTAGAATATGAACTCAATATAAAACGTAGCAATCAAATTACAAATAATTATAATGAATATTGATCGGTTCTTTTATTCGTCACCAGTTAGAACACAAAATTCGAGTAGAATCTTAAAACTTTATTGAGTGCAAAGTAATCATATTTTTGTGAAACTGTTTGCATTAAATTATATATATATATATATATATATATATATATATATATATATATATATATATATATATATATATATATATATATATAATTTGTTATTTTCATTTTATAATATGTCATCCCATTTCAGATTGTACACTCTATCAATAAAATGAGAACTAGCATACCAATACCTTCAATAAAACTGATTAAATACTGGAAATTTACATTAATTTTTATCGGATTACTTTTTAATATATATTTGTATATCCATATTTTAAATAAACAAGATAGCATAATTTACACAAACAAAACATTAACATTATGTATAAACGATATTTTTACTCAAATTGTTCAATCACAAAATTCATGGTTAACATTTATTGATGCTTTAAATAATTTACACGTTCATAATTCTAATCAATCAGAAACAACTCAAATATTAACAGAATTATTTCACTTTACATATTTTTCTTTGCCTATAATCAATAAAACAATAGAACTTTTCAACTTTAAAAATCAATTAAAAATACTATCTGAACCTACGAATACAACATATCATTTCAATGAATTTTATACCGAAACAATCAATAACAAAAGTGTGTCATATATTAAAGATAATAAATCTGTAGGTGGAAGGCATTATCCAAAATATTTCAATATGACTAAATATTTGAATGCCATGTCAAATGGATTTCCACCAAACGAAGTATGTTATATTCATTGAGATTTAATTTAATCTAATAACATTTTTATTTGATTATAAACATGTATATCCTTATGGTTTATACACAGTACTTTTGGAATTAAATTTTCCTGTAGATTATAATTAATGGTGAAACATAAAATGTAATTTGTTTAAATCCATGAATTCTGACTCCTAACTCCATTGTATATATTGGTTAACTTGATCATTAATTTAGACAGTTGATACAATTCAAATGATGTTTAATATGTGAATCTCTCCATAGATTTAATACTTTTTCTTACACTGTAAGACAAAGTCTCTTCATTTTAAAGTCTAGTCACTATGGTTATGAAGTGATTTAGTTTTATCTGTGTAAATAATTTTTTATTTCAATAAATGAGAAATGCTGATAGATTACTAATACACCAATTTATCTACTTCATAGAACGAGTTCATTAGTCTTTTAGCTAATAACCAGAACCATACTTTAATATTACAATTGATAAACCACCATTTTGACAAGATTTATAACTTAAAAGCTTTCACTATTGTTTGAACTTATTAGCAGTTTAATTTTGTTACCTGTCAAAATCTAATTATTTTGATCAATATTTTCAATGATAACATTAGTAATATCGATAATGTATGACAACCGCTAACTCATTATCTGTGGTCTAAAAAGTACATGTAGAATTATGTTAACAACACAAAATAAGCATGTAAAATTTTTGTTCAATTTATTACACAAAGGTTGAATTTAATTATTGCTTTAAATCCGTAATAGAAATTCAGTTATTATCTATTGATTTATAGCAACTCACTTTCAATTGAGTTTGCTCTCACCTAATTCGGTTAAGCCCTTTTATTAACTTATTAAACGGACAAAGTCACCTGCACTATAATAACTTATGGTATCTTTATTACTGTTGCGAATGTATGTACCTTTATTATTGTTATCCTTGTATGAATACGTATGCTCGGCAAGCCTTACTGCCTACGCATTTATTCACGCTACTAGCTTTACTATTAACCGCTTAATTGACTCGATGATTCATTAATTTCACAATGTATATATATGTCCATGTTATTCATAGTCATGACTCGCTCGCTCTTGCCCTTGCTCTCTCTCGCTCGCTCGCTCGCTTGCCTGTTTGCCTTTCGGCACAACTATTTAATGCTTGCTTAACGCATCTGTAATTTTGGATATCTGTGTGTGGTCCCTTAATAAACGTAATTAACGCTTCGTATTCGCCTTCTGATTGACATACCGTTGGAGCATTATTTGGTGACGGTTACCGAGACGAAATGTATACGGAGTTTAAGGAATATATCGAACACCGACCACTACAGATTATATACCGATTAGATTTATTCAAAAGCTCAATAAATTTTTTCTCATTTTGCATAGTGGAAAAACGAGTGAAGTTAGATACAAAGCTATGGGGAAATCCAATTATAATCAGGAATATCAATACAGATTTCTAAATAAGGCTCTTGTTATTTTATGCAAATACGAGTTCAAGATTCAGTATGTGGATACTTCTTATATCACTTTTAAATTCATTATCATCATAATCAATTCAGTACTCATTTCTTTCTGAAAAATTCTTCTCTCAGTAGTTTATAGCTAATTTGATTCTTTATCACTTATTAGATTCAATATGACTGGTTGAAATCGTAATACGGGCACGTGAGTGAGTCTTAAGTATTAATTCCGATAAATAATTCAACTCAGCTATAAAACAACAATCAAGATACTCCTGTTCTGAGTCTGAATATGATCTGTGCTTCCTATCGGCGGCAACTGTAGTTTTTTCACTGGGTTACGGTGTAAATTATATTACAGAATTTATAAAGCATTTTGATATGTCCACCCAAAATGACCTTTAATCGATGAAGAATTAGAAACAAACATATCCAACTTCACCAAGTATCAGAGACTATCTGGTATTGTAAAGTTCATTCCGCGTTCGAGACCAATTTTGTTCCAACGATAACACTTACGGACTGTTTTGTATGTTCTTTCCATTAACAATTATTTTGGTCTATATATGATTCTCTAAAGAACAGTCGGATTATTGAGTCACTGTGTATCACGTGATCTAGTATCATGTTCATGTATGATAGTCCAAGGTTGATGAATCTTGACAAACTATATTTCTGTTATAAAACATTAAATGCATTACAACAATAATGATTAATAAATAATAAGTAAATAATTTCATATTTAAATTAGACAGTTGTGACCTGTCAACTAAGTTTTAGTAAATTGAAAATTCCCATTGTGAAAATTAGAACAACACATATAAGCGAACAATTGTTTTCAATTAGATCATCATCAGGCTTTACTCTAATATACAGTCAGTCAGTAACAACGTGGAACTTCGTACGTACGTACATCAGTTCGAGTTGCCATACCACATTAGCACAGAGATTCAGTTATCGATTCAAATCCCATAGTGGTAGAGGTACTGAAAGTATAAGTAGAGATAGGGGACATTAAGGTTTGATGGTGTTATTAAAGGAGTATAGTCCAGTGGAATAAATTGGTAAAGAAAATAAAGGACATGAAGAATTCAGAAGATTAGAGCTTGAGAGAACACAAAGAGTGGATGCACTTGCGCCATTGCAAACGATTTTCATCCATGTCATTCAAGGTCTCTAACCATCGGTTGCTATCGTCTCGCGGTCCCCAACCAGGTAGTCTACACCTACCAACATGACTCAGTCCACTTGTCAGTGACTTCATGGATTTGTGCCATGTTTTGGTCTGGCCGCCCCTAGCTTTCTTCCAACCTACTCCTACACCATAAAACATAGCACGTCGGGGCAGTCGGTGGTCAGGCATGCGCAACACATGTCCCAGCCATCTCAACTGATTAAGTTTCACTACTTCATCAATTGATTTGCCATCCTTACCAAGTACCCGTTTCCTAACAACTGCATTACTTACTCGGTGGTCCCAGGATATACGAGCGATGTTTCGAAGACACCTATGGTCAAATACTAGTAACCTACGAATATCCTCTACTCTTACTGGCCATGTTTCACATCCATAAAGTAGGACGGAACGAACTGCTGTGCAGTAAACACGTCCTTTGGTTGATAAACGGATATCTCGCCTACGCCACAAATGACGCAAGTTGTCAAAAGCTAGTCGAGCCTTTTGTATCCGTGCTGAGATTTCGTCACACACCAAACCACAAGGGCTGATGAGACTTCCGAGATAAGTGAAGCGGTCGACACGCTCAACTACTTCGCTCCCTATCACTAGTTCGGGTGTAGACGCAACCCAATCCTGAAGTAACATTTTGCATCTCGAGGGAGAAAATCGCATGCCACACATGCTTGCATTGTTGCTTAGAGTGGTCAACAGACTCTGCATTCTGTCAGCGTCTTCACCAAATAGAACTATGTCATCGGCATAATCTAAGTCAACAAGTGGATCTCCCGGTAGAAGTTCAACTCCTGGAAATTTAGATGAGGAAAGTGTCATCTCTAAAAGGACGTCAACGACAAAGTTAAACAAGAATGGAGAGAGTGGACAGCCCTGACGAACACCACTTGAGGTAATCAATTCTGATGACAGTTCACCATAAGCTCTCACTCGACCAGTTGGGTTCGAGTAGAGAGCCTTTATAAGGTTGATGTACTTCTTTGGTACTCCCTTCAGTGACAAACACTGCCATAGAACCTCACGATCAACAGAGTCAAATGCCGCCTTAAGGTCGAGAAATACTACGATTGTGGGGCGTCTGAATGTGTGTCTATGTTCTAGGACCTGACGTAATGTGAATATTTGATCAATACAACCACGTCCAGGTCGAAAACCAGCCTGGTTTTCTCTAGTCTGCTCTTCACGAGCTTTGGTTAGACGTCGAAGTATTATTGAAGCTAATATTTTAGACACTATATTAGTCAAACTAATACCTCTGTGATTGTCACAGGAGGACTTTTGTCCTTTCTTATAGACTGGCACAATCAGTGATTGAGACCAGTCAGATGGGATTACGTCCTGTTCCCAGATTCTACCTAAGACCTCAGTCAATCTCGCTGCTAATACTGGACCACCATCCTTAAAAATCTCAGGGGTAAACCTGTCAGGACCTGCTGCTCTCCCACGCTTCAGATTTCCTATAGCTTTTTCAACTTCGTAAAGAGTCGGAGGACTTGCCATTCAGGTAGATTGGAGATCGTGGGAAACCGAAGTGTGGCTGAAGGCCAGTTGAACTGATCCCTAAAGTGTTCTGCCCATCGATCCAATCTCCTGGGTTGAGAATGAATAATATGTCCATCTTTTTCGGAGATTGTTGCGCTAACAGTTGGGTTCCTAATCCCGGTTTCCTTAACAAGTCTGAACGATTGTCTGCTGTTACCTAATGCTGCTGCTTTTTCCATCTCTCTTGCTTTCGCTACCCACCACTGTTCACGATCTTTGCGTAGGCTTCTAGTCAGCTTACGCTTAAACTGACTCCGCTCTTCGTTATGTTCAGAGCCAGATGGAATGAGTTTTCGAGCATCTATCAGTGCGGTAGATGCTGCTGAGATCCAGTGTTTCTCCCTAACCTTATGGTTTACCGTACTTGCAGACATCAATGCTGTTTCTACAGCTTTTCGGATGTCATTCAACGCTGCCTCGGGGTGGGCGTCACTTACATGGCTGTCTAACTGTTTTTCTAGATGTTCCTGAAATATACTCTTAGCTTGACTATCATTTAGTAGGACCCTAAGGGGTTTCCTTGCACCATCTTTCCTACGTCCAGTAAGACGTAGACAAATACGCGCTCGCACTAGAGCATGATCTAAGTCTAAGCATGTGCTCCAGAATGAGCGACAGTCTTCCATCGAGCCCCTCCATCGGTGGCTGATAGCGATGTGATCTATTTGGGTCCAGCGTTGAGACGAATCAGGGGGTCGCCATGTTAAAAGATGTTTTTCCTTATGCTTAAAGTTAGTGTTTGCAAGAAACAGGCGGTTATCTGAGCATAGCTGCAACAGACGGTCGCCGTTATCTGTTCTTTGAGCCGCGACACCATAAGATCCACCCAGGTGTCTTTCCTTTTCGCTTAGTTTACCTACTTGAGCATTAAAGTCACCAGCCACTATTACTTTGATATGGTGCGGTCAAATGAATGACACTACTAGGATCCTGTGTGCGCGTTTCGGAGACGCAGCACACATCGATGGAGCGAGATTCTAAAGTCTTAGCTAAGGAAGCCTGTTGTCCTATTTGGCACAGTGTTCGGACGTTGAAAGCTCCTACATGTAGTTTGGAGCGTGGTTTCAGGAGACCAGGAATAACATTCCGCGTACTCGAATCGTTCGCACTAGCGGGGCGAGGTGATAAAGGGACGTAAGAAGGGTTAGTCGTGGAGATAAGAGAGTTATTAGGAGGTGTAGGAAGGATTTGAATGTGACCAACTTGGTCTCGTGTGCTGTTACGGGTATGAGGGCTGATATCACTTCCCGGTTTCCCACACCGTGGAAGGGTATTTCTTGAGGGACCTGAAAATGAAATCGCATTAGTGTTGGTCTTAGCGACCTGAGTGCGTGACCGCAGAGCCCAAGGGACAACTGCTTGAGGCCGGTCGCGCACGGCCTTTTTGTGGGAGGTTTTTAATGTGTTAGCTCCGTCCTTTAAAGAACCTTTACCGCCGGAGATGGAAATCCATGAGGTAAGGGGAGGTGTGACATTTTTAGTGTCGACCTTTACTAACCCCATTCTTCCTTGTGGGAAGGCAGCGTCGCTGCAGATGCTGGTTGTCTGAGAGAAACATCTTACTGCTTTCACACCTCTCTACAGTCGGCAGTACGACTTCGCCCTCAGACCTTGAGTTACTGCTTTTAGTTTTACCGTTCTCCAATCGACCTGCCTGGCATAGTAGAACCTACCGGAACATATGTTCCCGTCAATATAGCTCGATTGGGTCATCACTATAGGCAGGCCTGACCACCACGTCAAGGTAGCAGCTACGGTCGAGACTCTAATATACAGTAATATATATACGAAAATGTTAAACCAATCAAGGCAATTTTGGATCAGTAATTACAATGAAATAGGATAAGTCATCACACATAATAGATAAAAGTACAAGTTGATAGTAGGAAGACAGGTGTACTGATAGCATAATAAAATACGATAACAAAAGTCTTATCAATAGTTAAACATTGGAAATAGTAGGTCAAACATGGGTAAATGGAGTAGTTATCACAAAACATTAAAATCATTACGTAATAAGAAGTGTGTAAATAATTAGATAGTGAAGAATGCAAATGTAAAGAGGCGAATAATTCCAAACAAATAATGGATAAGTAAATAAGGTTAATGATAGAATAATAATAATAAAGAAATAAAAAAATAAAAAAAAGAAATAAAAATTAATCGTTAGTTAAGTTATCACTGGCCATGGAAGGGATAGGGGGGTTACAAATTTCTTCTGTACACATAGATTGGGGTTATATGTACGGATTCCTATGGCTTCAGCTATATGTAGGAGACGGGAACGAACTCCATTGGGAAATGATGGGGGTATACGATAGATCACTCGAAATGATTTCGATTTATCTACCGTATGACCACTATCAATAAGATGCGCCAGGATTGAACTGCGTACTGTTTTTATCTGGCCGTTTATGAACCAAGTTGGTAGATGTTCACTCATTCGTTGGTTAAGTTGCCTGGTAGTACGTCCGATATAGCTATCTCCACAGGAGCAGCTGAATTTGTAAATGCACATTGAGGAGGCCAACTCAGGTAACTTATCCTTCGTTTGAGTAGACATCGCTGGTCGACAAGAGAAAGTCAACGTAAGATTGGCTGCGTAAAATGTTCTGTTGATTACTTTCGTTAACCTATATTTCAAAGTATCACTAGCCACATCCCCGTTGAATTGTAGTTTCATGTATAAAGGTTTCTTACGAACAGTCGAAATCTCCGACTTCTTTATTATATCATACATGTACTTCTTAATGAAAGCACCGGGGTAGCCGATCTCGGTCAGTGAGTTGTTAATAAATTCAAGCTCCTGACTTAAAGTATCACCTGTACAAATCTTATTTGCTCTGCTTGTGAGACACCTAACCAAATTTCTCTTGTAGCGGATAGGTGTGAAACTTTTGTTATCGTATTTTATTATTCCTACCTACTATCAGTACACCTGTCTTCCTACTATCAACTTGTACTTTTATCTATTATGTGTGATGACTTATCCTATTTCATTGTAATTACTGATCCAAAATTGCCTTGATTGGTTTAACATTTTCGTATATATATTACTGTATATTAGAGTAAAGCCTGATGATGATCTAATTGAAAACAATTGTTCGCTTATATGTGTTGTTCTAACTAAGTTTTAGCAATTGAAAAGATAAACGAGTGTGTCAATGTCCGATATTTAGTTAATTTCACAGTGAAACTCTTCCTGTTTTTCAATATTGTTTTTAGTAGATAGAGACTTAAAATAAAACTATTTAAGATAGTTAATTTCGATCTTTAAATTGACAAATTCTACTAAGAAGAAAGCTTACCAAAATAATGTTATCATATTTGTTTAAATATTTCCTTAGGTCCCCATAAATAATGAACATCTATTTGTTGTAGAAACCCCAAGAAGTGCTTGTGATCCTTGTCATGAAAAACAGAAACTAAATTTGGTGGTTTTAATTAAATCTTGCATTTATTGCTATGAACAACGGTCATACGCACGTCAAACATACATGAACATAAGTCTGTGGAATAACTTAACAGTCAGATTTGTATTTGTTGTTGGATTACCAATACCGAATGAGACAAATATTTATCATTTTGATGGTGTAAATGTTCAGTTGAACGGGAAATCATGGTCGGAATCAAGAAAACGTGAACTTTCTCGATGGTCAGTAATAAAAGAGTTGAGAAATGAAAGCAGATTTTATGGTGACATGTTGGTTGGTGGTTTCTTTGATACTTACTTCAATTTAACTACGAAAATGATATTATCTTTTCGTTGGGCGTGTATCTTCTGTAAGAATATAACGCCATTATTTTTATTTATTGACGATGATTATGTACTTCATCCGAACAATACAATGAAACTCGTAAAGTCAATTAAAATATCAGATATGAAGTCTTATGTCGGTGGTCCAATTCATGCAACATCAGTTGTATCGCGACCACAAAATAAAACTTACAACTCAAAGTGGGATGTTTCACCTCATGAATATCCATGGAGTTATTATCCTCCATACTTTTATGGTATTGGCTATATGATTGGAGCTGACGTTGTATGTGATGCTTCTGTTACAATGTCATTTACACAAAATCTTCGTATTGATGATGCATATCTTGGGATTGTTTTGGCGAGATTGAACAAGAAGCTCAATCAACTTAGAGGGTTCAGAGTACACACTGATACAAATTTTGAAGCATCAGGAGCAATTATTATACAAAAGTCAAGAGCTGGTTTACTGTTCGCTTAAACTACAATAATAGATTAGTTTTTCTTTCTGTAAATATTCAGTTATAAATAATCTCAATAAATGTACATTATAGACATGCAGATGTTGTATGTATAACAAGAAATAATTTTAATAGTCAGTTCATAATTTTATCGGCTATTGAGAAAATCACAAAAGCGCGTCATACAAACTAATTTATACATTTTATGACCATGACCTATTTTCGTATTCATTATTTCTTATGTCATTAAGTTACTCTACTAAACGAAGAAATAAGAATTATGAATCAATTGTCCTGATTTCTGGTTCAAGTTCATGTTAAACTTTGTGTCAAGAATCCGAATTTCTCTATTTATCATCAAATGTTCACAATCTATGCATACTAATAAGCAAACTGTCATCATCACATGATGCTTATCATAACTGAAACAAGTGATGAGCTAAGATGATAGCTTAATTAAACTATTATTAACTTGGAATTAGTTCTTCAAATTAGAAGTCATATAATGTTAGATCTAAATCTTACTGGTATACTGTAGCAGAAGTCACTTAAATAGCAACAAATGATGGAATATTTAAATAACAAAGCCCGAATACCGTATCAGATAGTTCTCACAGTAAATCTACACAAAATGATAAATTATATGTAAAAAAACAACTGTTATCATGGAGATGGATCAAAAGTTAATCAATTGTATGTGTGATAAAAGTAATAATGATTTAAAGTGATTCGTATATGGATTGTTTCATTAATTGTCTGAATAAACAAAAACCTAAACGTAATACATGCAATTTTTATTCATTTATATATTTTGAATGTCTATATTTTCATGATCATTATAGTAATTGAGATTTAGATTAATTTTTCAAATGATTGTCGAATTTTTGTACCGATTTGTTTTTAATGAAGCTTAGTTTGAGCAAGGATGCTGATAGAATGAGACAATTATTTTTTGTGGTATAAATAACTTACCGGAGATTTTTTTCGCCTGATAAATCTTCAGATATTCATTTACTTACTGGTGACTTCATTATTTTCATTTGTAAAATTTGCATCTTATTTTCAGCACCAGATCTCTTCAAGGAATCCATCGTCCACTTTTACCAGTGTTAAAGTTACTGTTTGAGTATTTCTCAGTGCCTTATTTAGTTCCTTAAAGTTTATGACCATTTTCAGAGTCCAAGATTTGTATATTGCTATGGCCATGCTTAAAATGTAAATGAGAAATATGATATCCCGGTATCGAAATTAAAACTAATAGTCATTGCTGTCAGATCAGGACTCATCTATCTGAAACTGATAAAGATTTAGAAAAATATTTAGCAAAGAAAGAGATTATTTGGGCAAATTGAAGAAGCAACTGAAAAACAGGTAATAACATTGTTGGTATAATTATTCAGTAGAGTTCATTTACTCAAAATACATCCAATGTACTTATGATACCGACAATGTGATTGAATGTAAATAAAATTGCTTAATAACTTGGAACACTTTTCAATTAATACTATTTCTCATTTTCGTGAACGGTGAGGTGGTTAATTTACTTTCACATTTGTTATCTGTGATAGTCATTAAGAATATTAATGAAAATTTCAATTTTGTTGATCTTTTTTCAAGATATAGGCGTTAATCATGCACTGATGATGCAGTTCGACTTGTCATTATAATTTAAATCCACAACTAGGATTATTTCAAATAACAGCAGTGAATTGAGAAATGGGATTCAAAAACCGTGGGAAAATTTAATTCACACGGTTTTGTTCGCTACAAAATTAAAAAATGATCACTTACAATCTATGATAAGTGCTCATGCACTTTATCGGTATTACGTGGAAGACTGGCGATTCCATACAAAAGGACTGTATTCTGTTTGACGTTATCCAGATGATGATAATTAATTTGATAATCAAAAGAAAGTCATACAGAAAGCTGATCTAAGCTAACCACTTTACAGATAACGGTGTCCACTTTTGAGATTTACATAAATTAGTCACAATATAAGTTAATCAATTCTAAATGACAGCGCTTCAAACAAAGATTACAACAGAAACTGAATTGAGATGTTGAAAAGTTTTTATTCAAATAGGGAATTTTGAAGATTGTATCATGACAGGAGGTGTCCAAAACCTTATACTGATACACGACGTGCTAAACGCCAACCCTCTAACTGACTACTTGGATGAGAACACAAGAGTGAGCGAGAAAGTATATTGGGCTGGAAAATAAAATGTACGAATACTCATTTATATACATACAACTCTGGGATTGTGGAGAAGATTTGTAACCCAGGTGGATTATTTTGATGAAATTTTGTTCTCTGAACTAGATGGTTTGATCGTGGAGCTTTCGTCGTTCTTCTGGAAGACACCATCAGTATAAACTTCAGGTAAATGTGAAGTGTTCGAATTTCTCTACATATGGCCCATAGTTTGTTCTGTAGACCTCGATCTTAATTGGTTATTTTTGACCTTTAACCTGTCATTGTTTACTTCATGTTGGTTGTATCTCCGATTGATTTGATTTTTTGTCCTATATTTGTCCATAATTTTCCCGATTAATTGGTAAATTGGATCTATTTCGATGTGTTTGTTGATTACTGATTGATCTGAGTGCCAAGCTTTTAAAAATTCCCTGGTGTTTTTAGAAATGCCTCTATCCAACATCTCAACATTCTGTGGACACATATTCTGTGGTGTGGGTTACTTATATCCATATAAGTAGTACATAACGGTGGTCAGCCATGGAATGTATTTCAGTAAAAGGTCGATGAGGAAAGAACGGAAGCGCAACGCGATCGCTATGAAAACGTATGAACAATGAAATCTGAGAGAACGGATTGATGTTTGCAACAGAAACAGTCAAGTTTGATGTGATGGATTGATATTTTGCAAATTAACGATTTACTATATGGTCCTCATATTTTATTGAGATGCTCTGTAATTTTACGTCAAATATACTCGAACGTCCCTACTGCTGTTCTTGTTCACTACAATTCGACTTCTACCTGAAGTTTGTACAAGAAAACAAAACCCTATTAAAACCACACAACTTTACCCCTTGGGAAATCAATCCAATATTTAGCTAGTCAATGCACTGCTCCTTCAGATCACACCTGACTGCAATCGACTAAACTTCTCGCTAGGCTACTTCGGATTGTCTTGACATATCACATTGAAGAATGCTCAACCTTCCCCTTCTATGGCATTATCATGAATTAATAAAACGCCGGCTCATCATTCTAGAGCTTAAGTGTTCATGCTGGAAAATAAATGTCCTTGGTTCTATCCCTGTGTACATTGTTGTCAATGCGCGCTGCCAGAGAGTCTGAAATTGACCTCCATAGATGCATGATTAAAGTGTGCTTTCTTTAAAATAGGACAGTGTTTATAATAATTTATTTTGACTCAATAAAATATGCATATGAGCACATAACGTTGTGATCCTTTTCATTTCTGTATCAAACTGAACAGTTTCCAAAGCACGTTTTAAACTTTGTTAGCTTTAACATATATCGTTAGATTTAATATTAGCGATCTATAAAATACAATTTTCACAAAGAAAGATGCAAATTAACATCTATGCTTTGGTACAGATGAATCAAACCACTGAGTTCTCGAACATGAGTATAGCATTATCAGTGAATATCATTCTCACTTATTACATGTATGGTATGTTCGAACTGGAGGACGTAGGAAAAACGAAAATCAATGCGCATGAATTTTTATTACCAATATAATATCATACATAGATTCAATAAAATTTAACACAGTGTAAATAATTTGAGCATCTTTCCAATTATAACTTTGCAGTGTTCACAGAGTTAGACATGGTGTTAATCATCCTAAATGTTATATTCCTTGTAACAGTCATCCAAAAACTCTGTCTACAGAAACATTCATAGATTGAAAACATTTGTTCTTAAAAATACTCTCAATCCCTATACTTCATGGAAAGTACCATGGTTTCTTTCACTTTTATCAATATATTTCACGTCAATTTGGTTGAATAAAAAAACGGCTGATGAAAATACGTGATATACCTGACAAATAGTAATGACGTAGAATTAAACTAAAGGTTATAACCCACATGTAAAATCATTTTGGGTTCTGCTCGATAATAGCAAATAAAGCTATTCAATATTGAAGTTAAAATAAAATTCCTTTCTACTAAACAAACGAAAAACATGTCCTGTGCACATATTAGTTTTTAATAAGTTCGATTTTATTTTATTCTCAATAACCGTACATTATTACGACTGTCAAATATTAATGTGAGAGTACGCATTAAAACTAACAGAAGATAGGTCGAATACATTTAAGGAAATCGATGACCGTAATAAAAACACGTGTAGAGTAGTGTATAACAATTAGAAAACGGGTGTTAACAACATTCATATCGGATTAATTTCTGATGATTATTACAAGATATATACTTTGTGAAATATATTTTTCTAAGAAATGGACTGCAGTTTTCATATTGACTGTGTTGTTCTTTCAAATACTATCAATTTTTCTGTATCATAATTACACAACCAACAATTCAGTGGAAGAGGAATTTTTCAGCAGTGATGTTTTGTTTCACATGAACATGTTGAACATATGTACGAAGTCGGAACAAAAGTGGCTTCAATGTGTTGATCAATTGAATGATTTAAGAATGACAAATTATGTAAAATTGTCTGGATTCCATCCATCAGTTCGTCTGTTTCACACGCCGTTAAACTACGGACTTCTTGATATACAAATTCCATTTACAATAAATAGTGAGAATCATATGAATGATATTTTGAATGAACGTTATGTTTTGTCGGATAGTAGTGATGTAATTCCAATGTCTGATGTGAAGTCAAGTGTGAAAATGAGAAAGCGCAATGTGCATCATCCGAAGTATTTCAATGTGAAAGAAGCACTTCATGCTATTGAAGTAGGATTATCTAATGACGCGGTAAGTTTTTTGACTGATTGTAAAGGCTCTGTTAGTTTATGTAGATGGTGAATGATAACTTGTTTACTCGATTAGTAAATTTCTGTATAATCATCATTCACCAACTTGTCTGGAAGAGCATTGTATTTGTCGAATATGAGTGTAATTATTCTTCCGTATTTGTAGAAACGTTACCGGTTTTCTCGCCTGAGTTTCACTCTCGACAATATGTTGATACCTGAAGTGAGGGTTTATGAGAGAGACCAACAGTTTCACTAATTCCATAATTTCACTTTATTGACTGATCTTAGCGAAATATTTATTGACAAACTGAAAATCAGGAGAGACTGATTGGCTGTATCGTTCTTTTGTGAGACTCTCCAGCAGTGCATATCCACCTAACTCAAAACCGATCAAACTTTGGACTATCAGGTTGAACTTACAAACCACCATCCAGTCAGACCCGCACTAGTGCACGTGTATTACTTTAGTCATTTCGCAATATTCATTCTCATAGAAGACTGCACTGAGATCCAATGGTCATGGATTCTCACAAGAACTTAGTAAATTATCTCTTCGAGTTAGTCATTAGTAAGTATATGACCAGTCAATGATGTAAAACTATGAGATTCACCAATCATCATGACATTCCATAGTTAGTTTATATGAACGTTTGAGACAATGTCACTTCAATGTCACGCTTTACAAAGAATTTGAGTGTGAGAGGTGCAACATCTCTAATCAGTGCAATAGCTCAAGATTTAATTGACAGCGGCTGTTTTGCTGACGTTTATCAATCTTTTAAAATTGTCAGCTGACAACATAATACAGCTTCTCTTCGTCTTCGTGAAACAGTAGCAATTAGAAAACTCAAACCAGATTTGTGTGTCCAGAAAGAGACAGTAATGAATTTATCATTATGTTGGAAGATTCACAATTTTAATTGAAATCACCTTCAATAATAATAATAATAATAATAATAATAATAATAGTAATAATAACTTTGTTATTATTGTTCTAATTTTGCTGTGCAATCTTAACCAAACTAAATATTATTTTATGAATATTAAAATAAATTTTTCATTCATTTAAACAAACGTGAACTCTTCCAATTTTCTAAAATTATTACGTAATTTTTTATATCTAATCCGAATTCTTGGTAACTGCAATCCCACAACCATGTGCTTTTTGAATGTTTTACTCATTTTACTTTATTTTGTTTGAACACATTGGTAGAAGAGGGACACTAGATATATATGCACATATAAAAAAAAAACAACAACGACCACAGATTAGTGTAAGGTAGTGCAATAATAATAGTGATAAAAATGATGGGGGAAACGGAAACGTACAACCAGAAGAATTCTTTCAGTTAAAAAAGATACAACCACTTTTTATGAAGAAATTAAAACAAGGTTACAGTAGGATCGCCACTGGCATCTATTCTGAGTCATATCTAATAACGTTTCTAGCCACTGTGTTGCACCATCTCTCGGCCCCCAAACAGGGAGTCGTGAAGGACCAACAGAAGCTAGCCCTTTGCAGCTTTCTTTCATACCACGACACCATGTCATATACTGACCACCTCTCCGCTTTTTCCAACCAGTCCCAGAGTCGGCAAATAATGCACGACGAGGAATTCTCTGGGACGACATTCGTAGAACATGTCCAAGCCACCGAAGTCGATGGTTCAAGATGGTGACACCAATAGTTTTGTCGTCTCTGCGCCCGAACACACGATACCGAACCTCTGCATTACTGACATGGTGTTGCCGCTGAATGTCAGTAATTCTTCGGAGACAACGATGATCAAACACACAGAGTCGTCTAACATCCTCAATTCAAAGAGGTCAGGTTTCACAAGCATAGAGCAAAACTGCTCTCACCGACGCGTTGTAGATCCGACCTTTTACAGCCAGACTAACATCACGAAGGCGCCAAAGATGGCCCAGGTTGGCATAAGCCGCTCTGGCTTTCACTATACGTGCATTGATCTCATCACTCACGCCACCATCAGCACTTATGTAACTACCTAGATACACGAACTTCTCGACTACTTCTATCTGCTCACCACCCAGGGTGAGTACAGGATTAGAATTCTTCCAGTCTTGTAGAAGTACTTTGCACTTCGAAGGTGCAAAGCACACACCGTACCTACGGACACTGATTGCCAACTGATTAAGTGAGGATCGCATGGCTTGGGCATTATCACACGGTAAGACATCATCCGCATACTCAAGGTCGAGAAGTCTTTCTCCAGGCAACAGATCCACACCACCATTACTTACATCCATCAGGGCTGTTTCCAGAATGTCATCGATGGAAAAGTTGAAGAGGAATGGTGAGATTAGGCAACCCTGCCTAACCCCACTGCTTGAATGGAACAATAGAGAAAGGTGGTTAAATGCCCTCACTCTGCCTGAGGTGTTTGTATATAGAGTCTTAAAGATGTTAATAAACTTCTCAGGCACACCCTTCTTCAATAGACAATCCCAGAGAACGGTCCTGTCCAACGAGTCGAAGGCAGCCCTTATGTCAAGAAACATTATGATTGTTGGCCTTTGATAAGTATGGCGGTGTTTTAACATTTTGCGCAGGGTGAAGATATGATCAACACATCCTCGACCAGGACGAAAACCAGCTTGCTCTTTGCGAGTCAATCCTTCTCGGGTTTTGAACAGCCTACGAAGTATGACGGAAGCCAATAGCTTGGACGCAATCGGAAGTAGACTTATCCCCCCATAGTTGTTGCAAGAACGAAGTGAACCCTTTTTAAAGATGGGGACAACTATCGACTCATTCCATGAACTTGGTACACTCTCTAGCTCTAAAACCTTTGTAAACAGTGTCAGTTCCTTGACCAGAAAATCACCATCATCTTTAAAAAGAGCCGGAGGTAAACCATCTGGGCCTGGTGATTTGTAGCGCTTTCAGAGTTAGGGTTCTTTGCAGACTTCCGCCTCATTTGGTGGATCACTTGTCACTGGCCGTTGGGAGCAGGACAGTTTGGTCGGTGTTTTCGGGGCAGCAGATCAGTTGAACTGTTCACTCTTCAAGACGTCGAATGATCTTAGTGATTGGAATCCCGTCATTCTCCCAGATTCCTTCGCTCACACCAGACTTCTTGCTGCCAGTGGCTCTGATCAGTTGGAAGAGCTTCCTGTAGTTACCAGATGCAGCTGCTGCTTCCAGCCAATTAACACTCTCCAACCACCAGGCTTCTCTGTCCTTACTTACTTACTTACTTACTTACTTACTTACTTACTTACTTACTTGCTTACTTACTTACTTACTTACTTACTTACTTGCTTACTTACTTACTTACTTACTTACTTACTTACTTACTTACTTACTTACTTACTTACTTACTTACTTACTTACTTACTTACTTACTTACTTGCTTACTTACTTACTTACTTACTTACTTACTTACTTACTTACTTACTTACTTACTTACTTACTTACTTACTTACTTACTTACTTACTTACTTACTTACTTACTTACTTACTTACTTACTTACTTACTTACTTACTTACTTACTTACTTACTTACTTACTTACTTACTTACTTACTTACTTACTTACTTACTTACTTACTTACTTACTTACTTACTTACTTACTTACTTACTTACTTACTTACTTACTTACTTACTTACTTACTTACTTACTTACTTACTTACTTACTTACTTACTTACTTACTTACTTACTTACTTACTTACTTACTTACTTACTTACTTACTTACTTACTTACTTACTTACTTACTTACTTACTTACTTACTTACTTACTTACTTACTTACTTACTTACTTACTTACTTACTTACTTACTTACTTACTTACTTACTTACTTACTTACTTACTTACTTACTTACTTACTTACTTACTTACTTACTTACTTACTTACTTACTTACTTACTTACTTACTTACTTACTTACTTACTTACTTACTTACTTACTTACTTACTTACTTACTTACTTACTTACTTACTTACTTACTTACTTACTTACTTACTTACTTACTTACTTACTTACTTACTTACTTACTTACTTACTTACTTACTTACTTACTTACTTACTTACTTACTTACTTACTTACTTACTTACTTACTTACTTACTTACTTACTTACTTACTTACTTACTTACTTACTTACTTACTTACTTACTTACTTACTTACTTACTTACTTACTTACTTACTTACTTACTTACTTACTTACTTACTTACTTACTTACTTACTTACTTACTTACTTACTTACTTACTTACTTACTTACTTACTTACTTACTTACTTACTTACTTACTTACTTACTTACTTACTTACTTACTTACTTACTTACTTACTTACTTACTTACTTACTTACTTACTTACTTACTTACTTACTTACTTACTTACTTACTTACTTACTTACTTACTTACTTACTTACTTACTTACTTACTTACTTACTTACTTACTTACTTACTTACTTACTTACTTACTTACTTACTTACTTACTTACTTACTTACTTACTTACTTACTTACTTACTTACTTACTTACTTACTTACTTACTTACTTACTTACTTACTTACTTACTTACTTACTTACTTACTTACTTACTTACTTACTTACTTACTTACTTACTTACTTACTTACTTACTTACTTACTTACTTACTTACTTACTTACTTACTTACTTACTTACTTACTTACTTACTTACTTACTTACTTACTTACTTACTTACTTACTTACTTACTTACTTACTTACTTACTTACTTACTTACTTACTTACTTACTTACTTACTTACTTACTTACTTACTTACTTACTTACTTACTTACTTACTTACTTACTTACTTACTTACTTACTTACTTACTTACTTACTTACTTACTTACTTACTTACTTACTTACTTACTTACTTACTTACTTACTTACTTACTTACTTACTTACTTACTTACTTACTTACTTACTTACTTACTTACTTACTTACTTACTTACTTACTTACTTACTTACTTACTTACTTACTTACTTACTTACTTAC